TCCTCATATGAGTGAAGTCATATGATTTTTGTCTTTCTCTGACTAATTTCACTTAGCATAATACCCTCCAGTTCCATCCATGTAGTTGAGAATGGCAAGATTACATTCTTTTTGATTGCCGAGTAATACTCCATTGTATGTATATACCACATCTTCTTTATCCGTTCATCCCTCGATGGACATTTGGGCTCTTTCCATACTTTGGCTATTGTGGATAGTGCTGCTATAAACATGGGGGTTCATGTGTCCCTTTGAAACAGCACACCTGTATCCCGTGGATAAATGCCTAGTAGTGCAATTGCTGGGTCGTAGGCTAGTTCTATTTTTGGTTTCTTGAGGAACCTACATACTGTTTTCCAGAGTGGCTGCACCAGCTTGCATTCCCATCACCTCATTTTTAAAATCTTAATCTAAATCCTAGCCCTCCTCTACCTGCCACTCTCTCTGGGACCATTCTTCCTCCCTAGTCTTACTGTCCCCAGACTACAGAATAAAGAGAACTACTGGATTATTCTTTGAATCTTTGAAAATCATGATAAGGGACAGAATCTAGGTAGATAGTAAGTACTTAACTAGATGTTAACACTCTGAGGCTTGAAAACCACTATATTAAATGAAAATGTTTGATAAAAGGTGGTAATAGGCCAGAAAAAACCCCACTCCCACATGGGCCCCCGCCACCTTTGCGCTTTCTGGGGCTTATTCTTTTCTTGCCCTCCAGATGCCTGGGCCATAGCCCTAGAAGGTAACATGCAAAGGAGCTTGGGCCCAATGGACCAAAAGACTAGGCAGAGCTGTAAAAAACGTTGGAGGCCCATTTCATATTTGAAGTGTTTCCAAAATTTCCATTAACATCAGGGTTTTTTGTTTGTTTGTTTGTTTGTTTGTTTGCCTAGGCTGTTCCTTCAAGTAGAAATGGAGAGATGGGTACAAAGAAAGGAATGTAAGGTAGGATCAGGGCTGAGACTTGAACCTGGATGTTTAGTTTCCCAGTTAAACCGTGTTTTTCTTTCCTCTCCTCATAGTCCCTAGAAAACCATCTATAGTCTATGATGCATAGACTATATGCAATCTATGAGTGCATATAAACCATTTTGTATAACTGCATGGCTAGCAGAATTATCTGGAATGTATTGCTCCACTTTGAAAGGATATTTTTTTTTTAATTTTTTTTCCCAACGTTTATTTATTTTTGGGACAGAGAGAGACAGAGCATGAACGGGGGAGGGGCAGAGAGAGAGGGAGACACAGAATCGGAAACAGGCTCCAGGCTCCGATCCATCAGCCCAGAGCCTGACGCGGGGTTCGAACTCACGGACCGCGAGATCGTGACCTGGCTGAAGTCGGACGCTTAACCGACTGCGCCACCCAGGCGCCCCTAAAGGATATTAATAGAAGTGATATTGATACTTATGTGCCAAATCCTGGGCATTTAAAAAAAAAATTTTTTTTTACACTTATTCATTTTTGAGAGACAGAGACAGAGCACAAGCAGGGGAGGGGCAGAGAGAGAGGGAGACACAGAATCTGAAGCAGGCTCCAGGTTCTGAGCTGTCAGCACAGAGCCTGACATGGGACTCAAACTCACAAACTGCAAGATCATGACCTGAGCGTAAGTCAGACGCTTAACTGACTGAGCCACCCAGGCACCGGCCCACCTGTCCCACCCCGCTCCTGGGCATTTTACCTGGAATACCTCTACGGCTTCTAAACTCCGGAAATATTACTGTTCTCAAACCTTTAAAAGACTCACACCATATCACAAGGGTGCTTAGTAAATATGTGGTAATAGGGACTAGTCGTTACAGTCACTGAGCCCTTTGTAACTTCCTCTTCTGGATTACAGAATCAGTTTTAGTCAGTCATTTTAATGTACTTGTAATGTACATCCTTGGTCAGTAGGTGGTGCCATGAACCCATCTGTGGTTTAAGGCTTGCCTAAGTTCCGAGCATCAATGGCAAATCCTCCATTTATTGTGGTTTCCCTGGCTTTTGGTGGATGAGAAGAGTGTGTGAGACTTTTAAGGAATGTACATTGACCAGGATAGCTAGGTGAAAAGCGGGAAGAAGAGGCAAAACAATCCATTATGCAATTGGTCAAGAAATGTGTCTGAGGGGGTGGGACAGGATCTGGCCAGTCCTTGGCAAGCCCCTAGCTGGGAAGATGAAAGGAGGGCTATAGATGGAAGTAAAGCAGCTATTAGACATATGACATGAGTACACAGGCAGGAGCCATTCTATCTAGAGGGGGATCTGGAGGCTGAGGGAAAGGGCAACTTGCAACACCCCAGGTTTTCTCAGTGGAGCAAGATGTCTCCAGTGGTTAGGGAAAAGCAGTTCTGAGGTTTTGCACTTCCTTAGCACCCGACCCTGTCTCTCCCACATCATGTACCCCTGCCATTTCAGAATCTCTCACCAAAGACACATTGAGAATCTCCCCTCTCCAGTTCCTTAGTTTGAGCATCCATGCTCCTTTCCTGGGGTATCTGGCACTCCTCTCAGAAGTATCATCAGCTACGAAAGGCATAAAGCTGTCCAGGAGGTAACCAGAGTTCAATTCAAAACACAAGTAGATGGACCTCCACACTGTTGCCAGATGAGTGGGGGGAACCATACGCAAGAATTGAAGATCATATCAAAATCTCTCAATCTATAGATGAGGAAAGGGGCACATGGCAAATCATTGGCAGAAAGGGGGCCAGAACCCTGGGATTTGGCCTCAATCAAACCATCCCTTCATTTCTGTACCTGTAATGCTATCTAAAGGAAGTGAATTGATGCTAGTTGTGTGATCTACTAAACTTCTGATTAAAAAGAACCTTTTGGGGGCACCTGGGTGGCTC